GTCTGCAGGCTTCCACCTGGCGGCGACCACCCTGCCCTTCCTGTGGGCCACCCCCTGGCAGGTCTCACGCCGGGTCAGGTCTGGGCTCCCCCCTCGCCCCACCCCCCGCAGCCTGTCCACTCTCAGCCCCGGCTGCCCCCTGACAGGCGCCTGTTGATCGTCCACACCGGGCGTTGATTCCAGCAGCAGCAGCAGGGCTAGGGGTGCAGGGAGAGGAGTGGCTGCCTCTGTCCGCCCAACTCCTGGGCAAATGTGATGACCTTTTTTTTTTTAAAAAAAAAAATGTGATTTAGTCTCCACAGCTCTTACGTTTTCCCCAATAGAAGGCTCACAAACAGGGGATCACCTCACTTGTACACGGTCCGGCGGCCGGTTTGTAAAGAGCTTTGCCCCCCGCAGGCTGGCAGCCGGCAGAGCGGACCCAGGCCACTTGTTTGGTTGCGATAAATGCTGCAAACGTGAAACCACCTTTAAATATGTATATATTTATTTCAGAGACAGAGGGAGAGGGAGACGGAGACAGAAACATCCATGAGGAGAGAGAATCATGGATCGGCTGCCTCCTCCTCGCCCCCCACTGGGGACCGAGCCCGCAACCCGGGAACAGCCACCTCCTGGTTCACAGGTGGACGCTCAGCCCCTGAGGCACGCCGGTGGGGCTGAAACCACCTTTTCATCCATTTTTCTGCAGGCTGGCTGGCTGGCTGCTGGTTGGGGTGGCTGTGGTCTGTGCTGGCGATCGCTCCCGGTTCCCAGTCGGACATCTTGGTGGCTGAGCACGTTTGAGACCCAGGAACTGGAAGCGAAATGTCCGGTTCGCTGGCGCGAGGCTGGTGTGTGTTCTGAGGTGAGTTCCGGTTTTGCTGCAGCACGACCGTCACACAAGTCCTGACGCCCCGGCAGCCTGCAAGTCGTCGCCGGCATTCGCAGCGACAGCCTCTGGGTGGGTGTGGGTGCCCGGCCTGTGGCCTCCGGGGCAGCTGGCAGAGCACAGCGTTTCTGGTAAAGGAAGAAAAAGCAGTGACTCTGGGTGAAGTCCCCACTGGAATGGGGCCCCCTTCCTGGCCCCTACCTGCTCCTGACCCTCCGCACGCACCCTGGTGGGGCCTCCCGAGGTGGGGGGTGAACTCTGACCCCAGGACCCGGTGTCATGTGGAGTCCAAGTGGCCATGTGCTGGGCTCCAGGGAAGACGGTGATAAAGGCCAGGCAGGGACGTGGGTGGAGGAACGCGGTAGAGAGGCCTGGAGAGCACCCGGCTCGCCTCACGAGGGGCCTCGGGTGCTGTGCTGAGGTGCTTCTGAGGCCGGGGGGCCGGGCGCCCCATCGCTGTAGCAGGTGTGGGGGAGCGGGCAGCGGACAGGCGTTGCTGGGGGCCCTGCTCAGGCTCCAGGTGATGCCATGCTGAAGCAGAGGGCAGACCCCAAGACCCCGGGGTGGGGTGTGGAGGGGCGGTGACAGGAAGGCTCTCAGGCCGAGGGGGCCCCAGAACAGGACCCTCCTCTGTTCTCCACTGTCCTCAAGGGGTGTTGGTCTGGGCAAGAGAGGTGAGGGGTGGGGGGACCCATGGCTAGTGCCCCAACCTGGGGGTGTCCCATGTGGGCTCCCGAGAGGGTCAGCCCTGGGAGGGGGGTGGTTTCCTGGCCGGGGCTGGAGAGCTGTCTGCTGAGCTAAAAATACCGGGTGTGAAGACATCAGGTACTGGCCGGAGGCGCCCTGGAAACCCTACCCCGCGGCCCACAGGCAGCCATTCGCCAGCCGAGTGAGGCCTGGCCCTGATTTCACAGGTCCTGCCAGGTCCCCCACCCACTCTCCATTCTGTGCCCACCCTTGAGGGCAGGGCTCTGCTCGGGGTGCCCCTGCCCCATGGCTTGTTGGAGATGATTCTGCAGCACATGACAGGGGACCCGGAGGCCAGCAGACAGGCAGTGTGGTGGCGGCCCGCGGCTGGGGCTGAGCCCACAGGGCATGCCACCCTGTCTGGCCACAGCACTGGCTAATGGGACTGGGGTCCTTTCCCGCCTGAGTTCTATTTAAAAAAAATAAATAAATTGTTATTGATTTCAGAGAGGAAGGGAGAGAGAGAAACATCAGTGATGAGAATCATGGATCGGCTGCCTCCTGCATGCCCCCTACTGGGGATTGAGCCCACAACCTGGGCATGTGCTCTGACCAGAATCTAATCTGAGACCCTTCAGTCCTCAGGCGGACGCTCTATCCACTGAGCCACACCAGTTAGGCTGCCTGAGTTCTTTCTCTCGGTGTGGGGCCAGTTTCTGGGCTCTGCTGTGGGGAAGCCCCTGCCAGCAGGGAGCGTCAGCTGGGCCCAGGCGTCCACCCTTGTCTGTCGCTGTGGAAAGAGGCCGCCCTGTCCAACTGCAGCTCAGCAGGTGCATCGGGCGGGAGGGTGTGTGAGGGCCACCCCCAGGCTGGTGCTGCTCAGCCTGAGTCAGAACAAGCGGCAGCTGCTGGTAGAGGCCCCTGAGGCCACACGGGTGGCCTGCGTGCCCGACGGCCAAGGTGGCAGCCCAGGACCCCCCCCTTGCCCGGTGCTGGCGCCAGGCCCAGTCGGAGGTTCTCACGGGCCACTCTTGATGCGGGCCCTTGGGCCGCCGTGGCCTGGGGGCTGTGCTCCTGGCTGGAGCCCGCAGCGGCCTCGGGCCTGGCGTTCATCTTTGTGGAGATCACGGGAGGGCAGGACCGGCGGCAGCAGGGGGTGTGGCCCAGGAGGCGAGCCTCCCGGCAACAGCAGGGAGTGGCATTTCTGGGGAAAGGCCCCTGATTAGTTGTCGGTCAGAGAGGTTCCTCGTTTTCAAAGTTTTCAAAACGTCCACCTGTTTGTGGAAGCCCCGGAGGTCCCGGAGGTCCTGGCGGGGGAGGAAGGAGCCCCCACAGGGACCCTGCCCGCAAGGAAGGGGATTTGCAGACCAAGCTGGCTGAGCCGCTCGTACCCCTGAGACTACGAAGGTTCTGAGCTTGGACCTCAGGCTGCGCACGGACCAAGGACCCTGCCCACCCTGTGCTGGATCAGGTCTCAGAGTGGGTGGGGCAGAGGGTGGGCCCTGCTGCTGGGGAAGCCTGGCCACTGCCCCTCCTCAGCCGGGCAGGTGTTCCCTGAGCTGGCCAGGCCTGGGGGGCCGAGTGTCGGGCTGGGGGTGCCGCAGGGCCAGGCCCGGGAGCAGGGCCGGGGGGAGGGGGTGTGGCCTTCCTCCCTGGACTGGCCTCAGTGCCCAGTGCTGTGCAGCTGCCCGACTGTACCTCGGCTGTGCCAGCCCTGCCCTGGTGCCCACCACGCCTTCCCCTGCAGAGCCCTGACCCCACGTGAGGTCCTGCGCACCCACAGGCACACTCCCCGGAACGGAGTGGTGGCTGCCTCCCCTCCCAGGGGTCCCTCAGCCTCTTCTGCAAGTCGCCAGGCTTCTCTCTCAACTGTCTTCCAGGCCTTCATGTTGCGCAAGAGCCTTTAGAGGAACGTTTAGTGGGGCACAGGTCACAGCGAGCCCAGCGTTCCAGGTGAGCAGGCATGTATGTACTTGCAGGTCAGGGGGTAGCACCTCCCTGGCCCTGGGGCCCCCAG